TTCAGAAATCATCAAAGGTGCTCCTCCGCAGTCGACGTCATGGGGCCTCTCCGGGCGAGTGGGGTTCCCCCTGCCCGTCGTTCCCTAACGACTCAGAAACTACCACAGGAGTAGTAGTTTTGCGCGAGCGCGTTTTACTGCGTGGAGCACCCTCGCATTTTCATTCTTCCGGCATGCGTTCTCAGACCATGCAACCCGTTAAGCTTTTCCCACATGTACAGAGCCAGCCGGAAGTTGGGTGCGAGTATCCTCAGTCGGGGGCTAGCAAAGTCGTCAACGAGGGTATCAGTTTGATTGGGCCCTTCATTCTCTCCCCCTTTCGGAGGGCCCTGGGAGCATATTTCTTTGTGGTTTAACGCAATCGGAGGTATTATACTGTGTTAGGGGTGATCAACACGGTCCACAGTCGACATCTGTCTCCAGATGTCAGTTTATCCCCCCGGCGATACCGGGGGGCCAGTCTTTCCATAGGTGTCAAAAGGACTTTCCCGATAGTCACCCAGTCTTTCCTGGTAGTCTTGTGGGCTAGCCACGTACAATAAGAATAAACTCACAGGGAGCAAGTACAGCGGGGATCTACAGTCATCAGTAGAAATTATCCTCTTTCGACACACGTTTCGGCCCACGATTCCTAAACGTATTCGGAGGTGGGCCCACCTGAGTTCATGACACTCAGGGCTTGACTAAGCAAATGTCCAGCCTGGGGATTGGCTATGTGTTTGTACAATGCTTCAACTAGAAAGTGCAGCAAAGTATGTGCAAGTCTTAATCGCCTGTCTATAACCTACATTCCTTTTTTGTCCAAACTGAATCTCCTCTACCTAGGATACGTTCAGTATCTTTACTAACGCGTTACTGTGCCTGAAGCCGTTGGTACAACATGAAATGTCATGTTTGATATACGCCACCCAACACTGGCATGAACGGAGAACGGTTGTACAGTAGCTCAGTCATATCTAACAAAGACCTGACTGTGAATGCTTCCGAACAAACTGGGTTCATCTACACACATCTAAGAAAACCATTAATTATCTATTTTGATGACAACCATGAACAGATAGATATAGTGAAGATGTATGTTGTAGTTTAGACAGTAACCCACTGTCATGTGACGTTCTCAAACCATCAATTCAAAATGAAAACCATAATCTCCAACTGTGACCCGTTTATATATATATATATATATATATATATATATATATATATATATATATATATATATATATATATATATATATATATTCAGATTAAGTTAGGTTGGATAAATTCAAAAAGAGTAAGGCGATCAGAGAAATTTATAGACAAATACCTGTGTCGACTGCAAAAAGACAAAGAAGATTGGGATCTATAGGGCACACTCTGAGAAACATGCGTTGGAAACCAAGTCCAAGTCCTTTTAAGAAAAAAAAAAGAAAAGCTCGACCACGTTCAGACTGCTGCTAGCTAGCCTAGGCTGCTAACAGTCTCCGCCTATATTTGTGGTCTGGGTTATTTGCGTCACTTTCGTGACTGGATACTGGTGTTTGTGCCATTTCTGGCTTAATGTTTCCATCCGAATCAAACCGCTCGTCCTGATTTCACTGGTGCATGTCTTCCTTCTTCATTCTTGGTGTTTCCTGTTGTTCTGTCTTCCTTTGATCTGGCTAGGCGTATCTCGAAGGAGAGCGAGCTTCCAAACACAACGACCTTTCGGCCACCATTTATTGTTTTAAAATTTTGAGTATTTTAATTTTGCCAAAAAGTACTGAAAACAGTTTTTGAATGTGAATAGTTCCGAGATGTGAAAATTTTCGCGTGTGATGCGTTGGAATGGGAAACAAACTGTCTGAGTGAGAAAAAGAGGACGTCCAAGGGAACACTAAAAAGAACATTATTACGAGAGGCAAAAAATGCTGGTCAGAACACCATGCCAGAAACTGAGAAAGTTGACTCCAAAAGAGAAGAGTGGGATTAATCGAATGGGAGAGCTAAGTGACCTATAACGGCACAGAAAGTTTAATGCTGATAAACGTACTCTTTCTATGTCGCTAGCTGTTCGGCATGTAAGGCTAAAACCATTTTTTTCTTGACCAATTATCACCTTAAAGACTATGTAGTCAATGTGATGCTTACTGAATTAGCTTCCAATATCATTTCCCGGTGCTCATGTTGGGCTTTGTTAGGCTGAGAGACCTAGATTCATCATGTTTCATGTCTTTTGCAGAACGTCGCTCTCGTCACTGTCTGCCTCAAAGAAACTCGATTTCCCAACAACTCACCCGCCTCGCACATTTACCACCGCATGGTGTCACATATCCTGTGTGCTACTTCGTGCTGGTTGGCCCTTGCCGCTCTTTCTTTGTGTTATGTCTTCTGCTTTTATTGTTTCCAGTCCGCGGTGGCGTTTGATATTGCCAAACATTTTGAGTTTCAGAGACAAAAAACTGTTTACTAGCCAATCTTGCTGAATGTCCAGATCTTTTAGGGTGTCCTATCTCTCTTCTTCCTGGTTCATGATATTCTGAGATTCTTTCTGTATCATTTCAGGTCATAAGTCATATTTTCTTCCTTAATGACTGCGAGATAGCCCATGACTCACATCCGTGGCATGCTACAGAGAAGTGGAGTCTCTAAACATTAGCACTTTAATTTTCTTGTAGGTGCTTCATTATAGACTATTAACGCTATTTAATCGTTGCAGTGCTATGGCCATCCTCCTTTCGACTTGAGTTGAACAATCCCACTACTGTTTATTGCAGAGCCTAGAGATTCGAAGTGTGCAGATCATTTCTGTAAGAGTGGTGACTTTCGGTATTTCTCATGATGATTTATGCAAGTATATTGAATAGTTATAGTGAGAGAACGTACACCTGCCTCACACTCTCTCTCTCTCCTTGAACCAATGATATAGCTACTCTGATGGCTGTTGGTTGTTATTATATAAACGTTTAATTAAATGTATCAAGTATGAGACCTAGATTCATTATAGAAATCTACTTTAACGTTCATTCGAACACAAGGCTTTCTTCAAGCAGGCAGGCTATCGCGGCTTATATGAACTGCATTTAGTTGTTCACACGACAATGTTTACCATTTGGTGTTACCTGGACCCAGAGGAATTGAAAAAAAAAAAATGTTAAAATATTTCGGTCACATTTAAAGGCATACCATTTTTTAAAACCATCCTGGAGGGAAAGTTTGAAATCAAGAAAACAAGAGATAGACAAAGATGCAAGTGGGAGGATAAGAGATGGAAGAACAGCAGTCTGAGATAGTATCCTATCAAGAAAAGAGACAAAGAGTGATTGGAGATCCATTGCAGTCAAATTTCATTGTGGAGACGGCACCTGATTGATTGATCCTGATACTTAAATTAAACAAGTTCTTTTGTATGATTTCTAGAATGTTTGGGACCCCGGAACACATTTTTCATTAAGAAGGGTCCACATGTCTGAGTTAACAGGCACCCACTGTCTGTTATCCGACTGTCATATAGTGTTATTCTTCCCTCAGGTCGGCAGTACGACAAGAACGGCAACATCAAGCAGTGGTGGGATGACCAAACCATTCAAGCTTTCAGGGACAGGGCCCAGTGTATTATTGACCAATACTCACAGTATAAACTCGACCAGATTAACGAATATGTGAGTGCTCCAGTCTTTTTTATCAATTTTAGTTTATTTATCTGTATTATATTTGCATAACTGTGTTTGTATGGATATCAGTCAGTTACATGGGCTTAGTTGCATAGAGCAGAGAAAAGACATACAGGAGAACAGACATACAGGAGAACAGACATACAGGTGAACAGACATTTAGGAGAAGAGGCATACAGAAAAACAGACATACAGGAGAACAGGCATACAGGAGAACAGACATACAGGAGAACAGACATTTAGGAGAAGAGGCATACAGAAAAACAGACATACAGGAGAACAGGCATACAGGAGAACAGACATACAGGAGAACAGACATACAGGAGAACAGACATACAGGAGAACAGACATTTAGGAGAAGAGGCATACAGAAAAACAGACATACAGGAGAACAGGCATACAGGAGAACAGACATACAGGAGAACAGACATACAGGAGAACAGACATACAGGAGAACTGGCATACAGGAGAAGAGGCATACATAACAGACATACAGGAGAACAGGCATAACGGAGAACAGACATACAGGAGAACAGGCATACAGGAGAACAGACATACAGGATTGTCGCGCGCCCACGTGGGTAAATACACTGATTTAGTGAGGGTGTGGGTTTGAACCTTAACAATGCCCACCCACGTGAGAAACTGGACTATTATCTAAGCTATGTTGATCCTAGACAGTCCTGGATAGCCAAGAAAACAGCGAGTGGCTCGTTCCATGAAATGAAAGTTGCTGTACTTGTATCCACAGGAGTAGGAGAAGGGATAGATAGATATCTGGATACACCCACTGTGATATAATCCAGGTGCTCATTTAACCCCTCCGACTGCTCTCCTCTCCTGGCATTACTTAAAAGCCCCCATCAAGTGATTTAAATATTTGTTAGCTGAAGTAAACTAATATGCACAAAGACACTTGAACCTAAGTACACAATTTAATCAACTATGTGTTAACAACATGAAACTCATCACACATGATTTATTTAATAAATCGAAATTAAAATGAACTTGTTTAGGCTAGTAGAGTTGAAATGATGTGGATGATGAGATCATAAAGGTATTGGAAAGTAACAACCTTTGGACAGTTCTCGGCTTGAGACCCTGCCTATCTTTTCCAGTTTGTCGTCCTCACTGCTTTCTGCAGGTCGTTACACTCGACGGTCGGCAAATAATGGATGCCTACTAGTCCCTGCCCAATGTGGGAACTGGAAAAATGAAACCACGATGCCAAAAGTTCTGTCTCAAGCTTAGGTTAAGCCCAACAGATGGCATGTGCTAGACAGGATCTCATTTACCAGACCTATAGTTCACCCCTTTATAACTTTTATTAAGCTCCTCCTACATTACGCCTAAAATCATTCACGGGTATCACAGCTCCTCCCCTGTGGGTAAGTTTATTCGCTGTCAGTCAGGGCTGTACAACACTTATTTAAATTCCCACGCTAGGATCTCCTGGTTCAATTAAGCTGGTCAAAGCTAATAGGCCAAGTCACACCTCTGGCTACTTCACCGGTCATCACAATAAAATCCGACTTTGTCAATTCTTCTGCCAACACTTTCCGCTCACTGTGTCAATAGTGACCGTCGGACCGGTACTCCAGTTTAGGTAACCTCAGGGGGAGATAATGGCAATTAGCCCTTGTTATCTGTTCCTGAAGGTCAGGCAGGGGGAATAACTATCTGACACCACAAATGGTGTGCAAATCTCCAGTCAGTAAGTCTGCTTGGTCAGTCTTATCTCTGTACCTTAACACTTAACATCTGGGAAAAAGTTTTAGTGTTTGATATGACCAACGGTCCAGGAGAATTAAAGGTGTGATGTGCTCGTCTTACTAAGATTAAGGATGTATCCAAATCCCTATTTGTCTGTATACTTCAAAATACATACAAATAAAAGTAGGTTGAGGAAAGTCATTCTGAAGTCACCGCGCGTATTGTCACATAGCCTCCCCCTTAAGTTCGGTCACCCTGACCGCACATCTGCACGCTCTGTGGCTTCCAAGAATTTCAAGTCCTCCTTAGCATAACTGCCCATAAGTTTTCTGTTTCCAGTATTCTTTATGGCAGTGGGAATTCCTGCACTCGTCTGCAGATATCCCATGTCCTTTCATCCAGGATAATTCAATACTGTCATTGCTCCTGGTAATGAGCGGGTATTCCAAGCAGTCGCTCGGTAATGTCCCTTTGTCCGGAGGTTCCTCCTTCCATCGGATAATCAAAGATCCACGCTTTGTCAACGGGACTCCTCTGCACCGTTGGCTGACAACCTCTGTGCGTTTCCTCCCTTCGCCGCGCCCTATCTGCCTAGGGAGAGCCTGAAGTGTTCTACTAAAAGGATTAGTTGCAGTCAGGTTGGATCCTCTTTTCCTCAGTCTACAGATCTTGAAATAATCTGTCACAAATCTCCTCTTAAAACGAGGGATATCTTCACTCATCGTGATCCCACGAAGTGAGTGCCACTTACCACTAACAATTTCTCTGAAGAGTGTCCATTTGTTGCCTCTTCGGTGCATTCTGTCTTTACCTTGCCAAATTGTCAGGGTGGAATTGTCTTTAACAAAGATCAGTCCAGAGTCAGAGCACGAAATCAAGTCAGGGTATACAGTCAAATCAGTAAAAAACTCAGGGTTTCCTGTAGACTGTAATGTGGGATTTCTTCGCAATGAAGTTTCCACCATCAGCTGAGATACCCCTGTCACTTCCTTCGAAGCAAAGAGTACTACAAGACCAGAATGTCGGGATTCCCTACTACTCACGGCTTGTTCCGCTTCAGGGTCCTTCATCAGAAGTATCCCTGTCGCCCCAGCTGTACAAGGCAGCAGAGACAAGTTGTCTCCCTGCTCACGAAAAGTATTTTCTTCTTCGATAATGGCAAACACTTCTGTCTGTCCATTATCGACGTGCACAGGCCTAGCAGAATTGTCCTGTTTATGTCGAGTCTCTAAGATCGTCAAGACGTCCAGAGAACTCTCCTCCTCATCTGCTATTCTCACCTTGGTCTGGCTTTCATATGCACAGTCCAGTGAAAGCAAATCAGGAGGTGTGTTGCCGCCATCGCAGTCAATTCCTTTTGGTGTAAAGTCAGAACTAACACATTCCATTAGGCATGCGGCCGCATCCAAGGAAATAGGGGACACAGGTTCAGCGTTATTCCCTACATCAGTCTGCTTTAATTCCTCTTCTTGCATGAAGGGACCAAAGGGGATATGGGAGTTGGGTAAGTCTTTGCCCTCGTCCTCATTAATGTCTGGTGTGACAGTCGAACCGCTATGTCTACGGTTACAACCGTTATCACGCTTGTCACTACTGTCAGGTTCGCTCTCATTTATCTCGTCTGAGGTAATGGGAGTAAGGGGTTCCAGCAATGTAGATCTTGTCCCTTTAGAAGATTTCTGCTTCTTGTTCCATCTTTTCCTTTTAGGCTTAAGAATGGAAGTAAAGGGGTCCAGCAATGTAGATCTGGTTATCCCTAAAGAAGAGTTCTCCTTGTTGCCTCTTTTCTCTGTAGGAATAAGAGGTGTGAGATACTGTCCTCCGGTTTTTATGTTTTCTTCCTTAGCTGTTGAGTTTGGCCAAGGAGTGCACACCACAGTGTCTAGATAGTGGGCCCCCACCATATCTGCTTGAGTTTCAGCCTGAGGTAAAGGTTTTTCCTCGCATATACTCGCAGTTTCCTCAACGCTAATGTTTTCCGCTTGCTGTTTTATCCTATCTTTTTCTGCCCTCTCAAGTAGCAGTTTTCGATGAATTTCTTCACTCTTACGCCGCATCCTTTCAGCAAATCCTTCCTGAATACACTCTATCTCTCTTTCTAATTCTTCTCTTATAAGCTGTATATCTCTTTCATACTCTACTTTCCTTAGCTGTTCATCTCTTTCATACTCTTCTTTCCTAAGCTGTTCCTGCCTATTATATTCTTCTATCTCCAACTGGCGCTTTTTCTCTGCAGCATTACGGGCAACCATATAATCAAAAGTATCCATCTGGCATTTAATATATGTTTCTAACTGTGCCCCTACTCTACCCTCAGCTATCCCGAATTTCCTTACATCTTTTCGGTACTCGGTACGTAAGTCCATTCTCTATCTATCAGGTCTATCAAGAGATAAATATGATACTTCCTTGAGTCAGGATAAGAAGGATATGTCAGAGCCAAGTACAGTGAACTGGGCACCAGAGTAGACTATGACAGCCGCACAAAGATGTATATGATGCAAAGCAGCCTACCAAAATAACAGCCTATAGAATACTATAGCAGCAAAAAGACAAGCCTATCAATGATCAAAGCGATGTTACACTCAGTCACTAATTATTAATCTCAATGATATGATGTGAGCATGTAATATGTTCTACAATCTATATCAAATGAAATATGCAAGCACAAAAAAATCATCAATTCATCAACTCTAACTAAGCACTATAGATAACACATTGATCGATGTTTATGAGATGTTCAATGATAGAGTTAACTCATATGATTTCATCAATTATTTACTTTTACAGTTATTATAATTTAATCTTCCCAGTTACCAATTACTAAGTATGATTTTAGTCTAAGAACCAGGTGAAGAGTTAAAATGAAATCTATGAAATTAAACTTCTTTTCGTTAGTCTAGGGTCTGCCGGGTTTGATCGCTGGCGGGACGCCACTTGTGTCAGGTTTTAATTCTAGAGAGCGACACAATTGTTACGTGATGTTATAAACCCCGAGACGAGATACCCAATTGTCGCTCGATGTTATAAATTCCCAGACGAGATCTCCAATTGTCGCTTGATGTTATAAAATCCCGGACGAGATCCGCAATTGTCGCGCGCCCACGTGGGTAAATACACTGATTTAGTGAGGGTGTGGGTTTGAACCTTAACAATGCCCACCCACGTGAGAAACTGGACTATTATCTAAGCTATGTTGATCCTAGACAGTCCTGGATAGCCAAGAAAACAGCGAGTGGCTCGTTCCATGAAATGAAAGTTGCTGTACTTGTATC